GGGGACTATAATGTCTTTATGGTTATTCAATAGTTTTCATATGACTTTAAAAAAAAAAAAAAAAAAGGAAAAAGTTTTCATATGACAAGCAATGTTTATTAACATAATTAGTTTTCATTCATATGACAAGCAATGTTAATTAACACAATTAGTTTTCAATCATGTGACAAAGCAATACTAATTAACACAATTTTGTTAACTTAAAATAATTTCTTTCTTTTTTAAAAAAAATTATTTATACTATAACTCAATTACATCTAGTACTTTTACAAAATATCCCTCAACTAAACGCAGATTCTTAGGAATCATAGTTTTACTAGAATCGATCTGTTTAAAAAGGAGTAATTAGAGTTTGTTCTCATTGACTGAACTCAGCTGAACTGAACTGAACTGAAATGAATATTTTATAAGAGAAGGAAATTAGGAGTTGAACTGAACTGAACTGAATTTCAATGTATGAGAACATACCCTTAGTTAGTTATATAGTCTTATAGATAGATAAAACAAGAGTGACATAAAATTCTCGGAAAAGTTGCATAAAAATTTAATAACTCAAAGAGTTACAAAAATGATTCTTAAATTTAAGAATAAGGTAAAAACTTGTTCGATTTAACCAAATGATTTTGATTATCTTTACGTTGATGCGTTTACAAATTACGACATAGTTATCACTCACAAGTAGCTCATTTGCACTAGAAAAATATAATAAAAATTGTAACAGAGATGGGAGAAAGTAAGAAATTACTTTTTTTAATTTTTTTTTTTATTTTTGGGTAAAGTCTTGTTATCTTTAACTTCAAAATTCAAATACAAGATAAGGTTGGCAAATATAGCAATAAATTTAGGGTTACAAAAAACCGGATTAGAGTTACCCCTTAATTTTGCCATGAAAAGTGGGGAAAATATATTTTTTTTTTTTTTAAAAAAAGTGGCCATATATCAACTTAATTAAAGATGTGAACAGATTATAGGAAGTTTGTTTTAGAGTGATACTCTACTTTGTGTTTTTGGTTTGATTATACTATAGTAATAACACAAATTAAATTCTAAAAAGTAAAAACATATACATTTTTCTCTTATTGTTAGCTTCGACTTTATCAATTTCGTTTTAAATCAAAATCCACATACACACAACACACTTACTATTTGCATTGGCATTAATAACTAACTATTAAGACACTATTGGAGGGAATGTAAAGATGGGGTAATAAGTACAAATCAAGTGAGAAGTCTAAAACATTACTCGTAATAAAATACTAACGGGTAAGTTGTGATGAGTTAAATGTGGTAAAAAAAAAAAAAAAAAAAGAGATATAGCACATCTATACTAAATTACTAATCTATCCTAATCTATTAAAACACGTTTATAAAAACGTCCATGCGCCACATAGACTCTTCCAAATTACGCCACGTCACTTCACTTCACTAACCATTCATGACACCACGTCAGTTCACAAACACTTGATGGAGCCACGTCACCTACCCAACATCACAACATGTCACATCATTACTAATATAAAAAAATATGAAGATAAAAGGATTCGAACCCCAAACTACTTACAACAAAATTAACTATTTAGCCATCTAAGCTACTTATCAAACATATTATAAATATGAAAAAAAATATATATACACACACGATGTACCTTAATGTATAATGGATTTCTGTACAGGAATAGAATATCAAGGTTGACCACATATAACATTTTTTACTATATAATTTGATTTGATGATTTTTTTTGTACTACTCGTATTATTTAATTTAAATATTTATTTATATAGGTAAGAAAATAAATTAGGAAAATTCTTGTTGTAATTGATGAATTGTGATTCACATAAGACAAAATCACATGATTTGTAATTTGTATAAAGAGTATTCTTTATTTTTTTTCCTAGCTACAATAGTTGAAAATTCTTTTCATATGAACCATGACTAGCTAGGGCAAATAATTAAAATTTAAATGGCATATTATTATAAATTTATATGAAGAATATGGCATAAATAATCAAACCTTGATTGGTGTAAGGAACTCTTGAATAATGGGACAAATATAGAGTATAAAAATGTTATTGTATTATTCAACTGCTAGAATTAGTTGTAATTATTGTTACTAAAAGAACTAAGTTGTAATTCACCAGTAAACGAAAAAGAGGAATGAAGGACGATCAATCCCACATCAAAGCAACGCAAACAACATGTATGCATTACATCAACAAGTACGTTAGTACGAACTTCCGTTTTCCCAACCAAAGCAAATTCTAAAGTGGAAAATTCAAGGTCGTACAAGCAATTCCAAAGCAAATTCATGGTACAAACAAATCTAAAGTAGATATGAAGCATGTGTTATTCGATCATGGTATATAATATATATAGAAAGTGGCAAGCAACTAACAGGCTAGGGCATATCACTTTACACACTTTTGAGCTTCAAACAATAGGGTTGGCATAGATCCTCTAGAAAGTTGAGTTGGTTCTATCTCAATATATGATATCGGTGTAAGTACTCGTAATAAGGATTAGCAGTAAGTATTGTACACACAGTCTGTGTATATAGTAAAAATCATCTCATGATAATTAATAAGAGATAAATTTAAATGTAGAGTCATATTAGTGAAATTATAAGACGGTACATACGTATTCTAATCCATTATAGTTAAAGTAAGCCTACTCCGATTAATTAATTGTCATGCAACATTTTACAAAGCTCTGCACAACATCCCTAGATTAGATGATATGTTGGATTGTTCAGATTTTCCATTTTCTCATGAGTTCCGATCAAGTTTTGAGTAATTCGATTCAACTCATCATCATCTCAAATCGAGCTTCAGTCAAACCTACATGGAGTCAAGTATTATCTCATTTTATAAGCATCCCGACCTGGTCTAATTGTGCCATGATCAATTGCTAGCCACTCATCATGTGAACCAACGTAAGGGAGTACCCAAATCATTACTCAAAATATAATGATGCATTCAAAAGAAAAGGCAATCCCACTTCTCATCACAAATCTTCATGAAAAGGATCAAATGGTTGTACTTAAAAACACTTAATCAAGAATAAAGCTTTTGTTACCGTTCACATACATATCATGTTTGGAAGTTGGAACTCTCAAACTTATTTATCATATGCCCCAAAAATGAACAAAGGTTGCTTCCAATTAATTTGTCACATCTTTTCTACTTTATATCATAATATATGCATATATGCATGCACCCAAATGGCCAAATCACAGAGAGACTATTGAAACTAACTCATACCACGTGTATGGCTTTGAGTTATTTAGAAGAATGTCATATTCATAATTGATGACATAGAACATATTTTCAGTAAGATAATATCATCCAATTTATTAACTTAACGATGATGATGTATCTAGCTATATTTAGTCGTAAATGTGTTTACACATACACAATTTTGTTTGATGTTTCGTTATAATTTTGATGGCCAGTGTACAATTGCCTAAGTGAAAGAGAGCACAAGGACATGAGCGACATACTTATTGCTTGAGTGACAAAAATCTTTGTAATCTCTTGCAAAATTAGGAGTGTTTTTAGTCTAAGATCCTAATCCATCTTTTCTTGCAAAATTTAGAGTGATTTAGTCTAACATCCGGGTTGGAACATATTTAATCAATTGGTACATTCTTTTTTCACTTAAGGAGAGTGGTTTGGTTAGAGTTTAGACAATAGTATTTGCTACTACAACAGTAGTTTAATAGGTACATGTTTCGGGGTTGTACAATTTGGAAGGTAGGTACATGTAGAGATTAAAGAACAAATAGCTAGAACCCACATTCAATTCTAGCTAATGTGTGTTGAATAAACTTTACGACTTTTTGTAATTTTAAATTTTATTTTTAATTATTTGATACTCTTTGAAAAGAGAAAGTGATGCAAAATGAGAAATTCTTAAAAAAGTTGGTGGAAAAATACACGATGTCAAACCTTAGATAGTCGAGAATTTCATAAGTAGCTCCAAACACTTCCAAATCCTAGCTAATTTTTGGATCAAAGCCTAACCAAATATATTAAGATTTCAAAAATAAAATAAAAAATAAAAAAATACATTTGTCAAGAATGGGGGATTTCGGACCAGTACCTGAAACTGGCGCCTTAGACCAACTCGGCCATCTTGACGTTGTTGTACAATTATTTCATAACTTTAAAATAAACATTTTCTACAAGATGTGCAATAGGACAAGCATGTCACCCAATGGGCTGTGTTGTTGGGTTGATTTATCAATTGCTATACATAATGGAATATATTTCATAAACTTTCTATCCATTTAGGCCACATGTCCATTATCAAATGCTTATAAATAAATCCTTTCATCCTACTATGTTCTTTGCATGGTTCACTAATTTTCAAACTTCCCTTAAATCAAAATCAATCCGCTTTTAATGGAGCCTCTATGGCACATAAAACTGTCAAATCAGGTTTAGAATCAAGTTTTGTTAGATTGCAGCCGAATTGATGAGTCACGTTTTGTCAGGTCTAGTGGCGTATATGGCTAATGAAATAGAAGATGTCCACAAATCTTTCAAAGCTTTGAACATGTTAATCCAGCGGGCTAAATAATGAATAATTAACATATTACTTCTTATATGCCAATTGACTAATGACTATTGTAATTATTCTATTATTGTATTTGATGCATTGGATTGAACTCATACTCCATAGTCCATAATTTGTAGTTTGTACTACTATATGAATAGGTGGATTAGATTATTCATTAGCTAAAGAAAATGACAACCTTGTCTATAATTTCCACTAGATTAGTCTAAAGCTTTTTGTTTATTTGAGGCTGATAAATAATGGGCTGACTTAAAGTCAAAAATTAAACCCAGCCCAAACAATTTTATCTTCTTTTTTCAAAGTTCAAAGCCACCTATTTTCTTCATTTTTTCTTTTTTTCTAAAAATAGAAAAAGTTAGGGCTTTTCATCATCTTCTTCTTCAACCTTCATCGTCTTCCAAGTTTTAATCTTTCTGGTTTATAATCTTAATTTAATCTCTCTGAAATTTTTACATGTTTTTTAATTTTCAATTTGAAAAAGGGTTTTTGAATTATTTTTTAATTAGTTATTAAAATGGGAAGATTGTTTATAGAATCACTTCCAGGTCCAAGGATATTCAAATGCAGCTGCTGTAAAGTTGACTCTGCGTCTCCAGACGACATCGTTTCGAAGAATTTTCAGGGGCGTTTTGGCAAAGCTTATCTCTTCAGAAGTGTGTATGTATGCTTCTCTCTCTTTCTCTTCATTTTCCTTTATTTTGTTAGTGTTTGTTCTGCTTCCGATTTTCTTGGAACTCTTATGTATTGCTTTTACGGCCCGTTTGGTAGGTAATAATAAATAACGATCACGGGAATGGATTTGTATGTATAAATTTATGTTCAGTAAATTTGAATTGTAATGTTGATGGAATTGAATTAATTAGAATTATAATGTTGATGATGATCATCCTATCCCCCAAATTTTTTTTTTTTTTTTTTTTTTGATGATATTCTTGCATATATTAAGGTATTGCTGTATTATTATAAATAGCTCACCCTATAAAATGTTAGGTTGTTGAATGGAAGTGTGTTTAGTGCTCTAATTAGTTTGTTTTGAGAAGCTTATTGGGGATTAAGTGAAGGTGAACCTAATTTGATGAGTGTTATGTTACTTGGTATCAAATTGTTAATAATATGATACTTGAATACATCAAATTAGACTTCTTAAAATACCCTGCTACATTGTTAATTATGCATACTTCAGTCATTCGGTGTGGATGTTAATTATCTTAGTTCGTCTAAGTTTTGGAAGGTGGGATGGAACCCTGTCTATGTCTACATAACTACCCTTTGTGGGTCCTTATACAATATACACCAATTCATACAATTTATCTTAGTCCTTAAGACATGCAAACTTGCAAAGTAGGTTGCTAGTTGGAAACTCGTGGCTTTAACAAGTTTGAGATATCCTTTCACTTCCTTTAGTGAGAGGGTATTCAAGATGAATTAAGAAATTACGGGCTAAGTGGATTAATTATATTGATTATATGTAAGGACGATTATTAGGTGTAATTTGTGCTTATCACTTAAGTACTTGTGTTAAGTTCTATCAAATATGAGTATGGAATCATGATATTTATTTTGGACCCAAAAAAATGAAACTCTTCATAATGTAGTTGAATTTGACATTGGAACACTGCTACCTAAGTACAAAAAACTTAGGGCATATATATTAGGATGCTTATGCTCTCACAGCTAGTTGAAACAATTTAAGAGCGGGTTAAGGAGACGCCCTTGCAACCCTCCTTGAAATGTTGTCATTCACCTTATCAATGTAGATGCTCTAAAGTCTTGATAAGCTTTACAAACTCAAATTGTGTTGATTTGTGCATCAGAACCAACACGAGGAAGCTCTGACAAAATTACTGTATCAGATTTTACTGTCATGTGTCCTAGCAATATGTACTGATGTCCTACTGTAAGTGTCTGCATTAAGGTTTAAAGGTCATTCGAGAAGAGTCAGAAGACTAGATTTTCATTCTGCTTATGCTCAGAGTTGCAAATTGGGTTCTTGGCTTCTTGCCTTCTATAGGCAATACTATTTAAGACCGTTAATGTTTTTTTGTGTCAAACTTATTGAACTTATCTACTGAAACATTTCAGAGTTAATATCTGTCTTGGGCCTACTGAGGAACGGCATCTTACCAGTGGATTGCACGCTGTCAGTGATATATATTGTAGCTCTTGCTTGCAAATACTTGGTTGGAAGTATGTAAGTATCAGTATGATCGATTTCTGCTCTTTCATTCCTTAAGCTATTCAAGCAAACATTTTTGAATGTTTTGGCCAGTCACTGCATGTGTTGTGCTCATATTTGCAGAAGCTTTAACTTGTATCTCTAGCTGTATTCTACCTTAAATATGATAGCCTACTTAAACTTCATCTTTATTATATCATACAATATTATATCATAGCCTATCATACAATATTATATAAAAGGTCTTATAAATATGAAAGATCACAGCAGTTAGATGGATTAAATTCTTTGTCCATTTTACTTTCTGTTTGATCCAATGTATTATATATAAATGTAGATGTAATAGATTGAGATTCTTAACTCCTCTGTTCTAAAAGTGACATTTTTGTTAAATAGATTGAGGATCTTTTCTTAGCAAACTATAATGTCATACATACATGAGAGGTCTTGCTCCCACTTTCCATGCTATTTGTCAATACCAACTTCTTGTTTGGTGCATTTGCTAAACATCACGCTCCTACAAACTGGTTTCATAATTTCCTTTGAGATGAAGATAAGATTGAATTCGTTTTGGTGTCAGGATTCTTACCCTTCTTGTTTTAATTGTGCATACACAAGCTAGAATGGCAGGTTTGTCATGACTAAATGATTAGATTTGATCATCCTGGAGGACGACTTTTCTGTAGTTACTTACATTGACTAAGCTGATGACCAAGTTCTAAACAATTGTATTATAGATTGAACATCAAGGATTTATTTGTATTTTCGGTCTTTCTATTCAACACATTCAGAGATACAACCTGTATGTTTGGCCCCCATAATAATTTCTACCAGTTCTGCTATGAGGTCATCAGTTGTTATGTCATCGAGTTTGTTTATCATATGTATATTAATGTATCATTGATTTGAATGCAGGAGAAGGCATATGAAGAGAGCGAAAAATATAAGGAAGGGATGTACATTCTCGAGAAATATAGAATGCTGAAGGATGGCTGGTAATGCTTTCAAGCACTTCATGCAGTGCTTTAGTATAAACTAATCTTGTGATTCTTCACACTTTAGAGTATCAAGCTTGATACATGCATCATTTATAATTTATATACTGCGTTATACCAAGTATTTTAGCTTGGTTCACGTGTGTGAGCCAAGTTATTAGGAGCTTGAAAATTTATAATGTTTTGTTTTCATCACCAAATAGCAGGATGTACAGTTTAAAAAAGATTTGATAGTTGTCAAAAGTCCCATATTTGTCTCTACTCTTTCAATTATACTCCCCAAAGTGTTAGTATTATTCTTCACATGCAAGGGAATTGGGGATATTGCCTATCCTTTTCGGTTATACTTGAATTTAATCCAAGAATATATTATGGAGGATACAATAGTTTGATACTACTTCGTATATAAGATTGAAGGCTAGAGCAGTTGGCTAGCTCTTTGACTTATTATAGACTGGAGATCTTGGGTCCTGGGATGGATTAGATTTATTTTTACCTTTCCTTGAAAACTATTAATTTCATTTACATCATGGAAAGGATGTATTAATGTATAAAGCTTACTCCGTACATAGTATACTTTGCTCAAATACTAATTTTGTCTTAGTAAACTTATCATACTTGTATAACTAGTTTAAATCACACTATCAATAAGGCGAATAGTTGAAGACTCTTGCCGGTGATGTTACTCCATCTTGGCCACTTTACATGCCCTATTTGGCTATTTGACCCAAGTGGTCTTACATTTTCTTATCAAATGGGATGAGGTGCTGATATTTACAACTTACAAGAGTATGCAATATGCATCATCTAAAAGTTTGTGCCTTTAATAAGTGATGTGGACCAGTAATTTTTTTTATAAATTTTTATTGTTTCATGTTGAAAGAATATGGACAAATACCAACAGAGCAAATGTCAAACAAACAAGTAGACATATTGCAAAAATTACAGTGATATATAGGCCAGGTGGTCCAGCACTAAAGAGATTTGTGGGCCCACAGTCCACAGATATGAGGGTAAAATGGGCCATGTCACAGTCCACCTCAAAGTAGTAGCCTACTATGTGTCTTGTGTTATGTGGGGCCCCGAGAAAATTGACCCGGATTGCATGATAAGGATATGTGAAAAAAGGATCGTGTTTTTTTTGTAGCCATGAAACTAAGATAATGTATGACCCATTTTTTAAATATAACGGCTTCTTATTCACACAACTACTCTTCCCCTCTTTTTTTATTATTAGTTATATTTTATATATTTATTTAATAATAATCTTATTGTATTGGCTTATATTATGCGAAACGTCTCTTTGTCCCATGCCACACTTCCTTCAATGTTCTTTCTAATCTAGTTATTGAGATCCATGAAAATGCAAATGAAGTCCTTTAGCTATAGTGATATTATTTTCACAATTAAATAAATAAATAAACGGAATTTTGCATGCATTTATTAATCACGCTTGGTAATGTATAATTTTAACCTTCAATAACTTCAAATCTCGATAAGTAAAAATTATAACTAGATATCACATAAATATGTTTTTCCTTACATATATTTCACGAAAGATGGTTAAAGAAGGAATGTGAATAGTGTGAAAGTCGATGTATGTCAAGTAAAAAAGAAAGGAGAATATATGTAAACTGAATTGTCATCTAGAATGCAATAAAGTATTAACTAGCTAACAATTACCTTTATTGGTAAATCTTAGCAAGTTTGTTACAGAGGTTAGGGTTTGACTTCCATCAATAATAGTAGTAGTGGTGTAGCTTGTGATAATGTGGATAGCTTAGGCTAAAGATACCTATACTCCAATTTAGGTCATTGCACTAATCACTATTCATATTAGTAAAGATGTACTTTAGTAACTACTAACTAATAAGGATTCTAAGGAATGCATGTGTTAATTGCTTAAGTCTATAATATATTAAATATTAGTTGTTATACTAGCATACGTACTTTAGGGTCTATTTTGTTAGGTGTGAAATAAAAGAAATAATTAGAACATGTTACGTATTGTTTGGCAAAATATTTTTTTTACTAAAATGAGAAGTTGGTTTACTATACCGTACTATTTGGCCAAATAACCTCTCAAATTAAGCTAACTTTATTAACAAATATGGTTATATTCTTATCCCCAACAGTATAATGGCAACCGTATTTATTAATTCATGTGCAATTTGTTTAAATAAAGATGTCATGTTACATCATTTTGCACATACCAATATTTTTCATGTATGTATGTATATATAAAGTAATTAAGAAAAAATGTTTTCAAACATTAGGTTCATCATATAATTTCTAATCTAACTTCCTCTAAATTTATCCAAGAATTGAAATTTACAAAAAAAAAAAAAAAAAAAAAAAAAAAAAAAAAAAAAAGGAAAGGAAAGGGTAAGAGGAAAAATTAATTTAAATATATTCCTTGAAATTAAATGATACAAAGTAAATGGTATGCACAGAATAATTCCCAAAAATAATGCAACTTAGAATCTTGTGTTGATGAAAAGGGTATAATTAGTTGGTTTGATCCAAAAATGTAAGCATGTTAGTGACTAATTCATTGCTTATCTCCATGTGAATGAGTGAGTGCATGTGTTTTGTCCCATGATATGTGTGAAAGGACAACAATAATTCAGCCTTCTTTCCCCAATTCAGAGAAAGTTACAAGTGAAATTGTAACATTTCCCATATAAATTTGATGATAAAATCATCTTGGTTAGAGAAAAGCTAATATTTCTTCCGTCCAAAATTAATTGTCTAACATGAATTTATATTGTTTATATATACTTTTAATGGTGAAGAAGAAATTTGTAAACTTTTCCCATTACAACACTAATGTCTTGTGATTAGCTTTTTATGAGTGCTTATTAATATCTATACATTGATCTATACACATATTACTAAAGTAATAAAAAAAAATACACTAGGCAAAATTATGTGATATACTTTGTATATAGAGAAACAAAAAATATCTTCTTGTAACTTGAAATCTTTGAAATTCTTGTAAGATTTTTTTTTTTTTTTTTACAAAAAAAATACTACTAAAATTAGTGATGAAGACTATGAAAAATAATCGAAGAAAAAGTAATTATATAGAAAAACAAATTCAATGAATAATATTTTAAGTTGGGATCAAGTTAAAAACATGTTAAAGTTATAACCATATAAGATACTTCATAGTTTCATACTTGATATGAAACATGATCCTATGAACTTGTTTTTTTACAATAAGCTCGGCTATTAGGCTATAGTCAAAAAGTAGTTTTCCAAATACGTCACCTCTTGAATAAAATGATGGTCGGAGGAGACATAGAGAATATACTTTGTAATTTTGTATATGACACAACCACAGAAATATTATAAAAAGACCTTTAAATTTATATTTTGGCAAAACAATCAGTATACCGAAAAAAAAAAAAAAAGAGACCGGACAATATAACAACTAATACTGAGTGGTGGAAGTGACAAGGAGAAGAAGAAAAAAGATGATTAAATCGACAGAATTGATGACTTCAGAGCATTCAAAGCTAGAATCTTAAAACATTCAGCCCATCTAATAGCACTCTGCATAACAAAAGTATTAGACTATCTAAATGAAGTCACAAAAATTCTTTTGAACGGTATAAGCAGCTCACAAGCATTCTGAAGAGTTTAAACATTACAAACTCAACTAGATATTCACTACAGCAATTGAATACCTCATAAGAATATAAACAACTTGGCTGGAAAAACTATATGAGAGGAGAAGATCAGAAACACCCACTTCTTAGTTCTTTATGTACCCGCCGCATGTTGCAAGTGATGGATGTGATACTATGTGTAACCCGCGATTCAAATTTACAAATTCCAATGAACGAAGAAAAAAAAAACAGGAAAAAAACCTAGATAAAATGACCAAGTAGTGTGTGCCAATCTTTGTTACTAATGTATTGTAAATCCAAGCAGCAACTCTGATCAATGCTACGACCCCCAAATTTCTACTTACTGAATTACAGAAAACGGTTCTTGCAGATCTTTGTTCACCTACAGAAACTTCGACATCCAATTGAATAATTTTCTCCTAGGCAGCAATCCCTGAAACTACACAACAAAAAGCATAAGTCAGTACAAAGAGAATTAGAATGAATTTTTGAGCACGACGGTTTATATATTTTAGGAGAGTAGATACAATTCAACAAATCTTATATTCTTTCTGTCACCAGCTTCTGTCTAATGCGGAAAATAGGAGTAATCTTTCTTTGCATTGAAAAGGATCAACATGACTCACGCATTTTATGTCAAAAAAACTCTACTTTAATGAGACTCCAATAGATCAGTGATATTTAAGTACAGTGTCAATGTGTCATACAACGGTGGCATTATGTGTAAATTACTTGGCGATGTATGTGGAAAAGGGGGATGGGATTTAAAATGAACTAACCATTCAAATTGAGGAGACCCATCTTTCTTTGCTAAGTCCTATAAGTTCCTTAGGTAATTTAGATTATGTCAATGAAGAAGATTCCTTTACAAGTGTACAAGTGACAAAATCTAAGGCATGTCGGCAGTCAGCACCATGTCAATTACCCATATAAGTAAACTACGGATCATTACAGAGTAGAAACAAAAAGGATTCTTTAACGATGGATTAAATGGAACATTAAAGCAACAGGTTCAGTACAGTTAACTTTGTATATAAGTTTTCTTAGTCTACAAGATTGTACCAGACAATTTAGTTCAAAATACATCTGACATATAGGCCTTTGAGTCTTACTCATTAACCAAAAACAGCAGGTAGTTAAGGCAAGGGCAGCCTATGGAACTGATATGGACAGATGACCACCAGCATTAAACTCTTCAAAGATAAGCAACCAGACATTCAGATCAACAGATACCAATAACCAAACTAGGCATCAAAAAAACAAATGAATATCATATCTTAAATTTTGAAGATTTACATTTTAGACTAACAGCTACTTCAACAAACCGGAAATCTGCTTAGTTAAGTCTTGGTATTAGTCTGCCATAAACTCAAATAACATCAAACCGAAGACAAGCCCCCTAGTCCTGACTAAAATCAAAGCCACTAAATTATGCATCTAACAAGAGTAAGTTGTTGATATTAAATGTATTTTTCACTTGGTAATTTTCATCAAAAGAATGTTTCAGGTTATTTAGATGGAAAATAGCTTTTTCAGAGAAAATTATCAATAGTAATGACATCTGTTGAAATAAATAAACTTATTCAGCAGGGACTATACACATAGCTTATTAT